ATGGCGACCAAACCGGCAGTTAGAATGCTGGGAACGGCAACATTTGCAGAGCTGGTTACAATAGGATCCTTTAGATCTTCTTCCGTCATATCTTGTATTTTAGTTTCTCGTGCAATAAGTTCGTTGAAGTACTCCTCGCTGGAAGGAAGGAGAACAAACAGACGGAGTAAAAGAATACATCTCCAGTTGCTATAGTCGTTGAGGCTTAAATCGTTGCTTAAGAACCACCTAAAACTGAAAATTCAAAAGACCAAACTTACCTAAAGGCCGCCTCGCCCTCTGTTGCTGTAGGAGTCAATTCACAGAAAAGCACAGACGTTGTTGGTTCTTCTGGTTCTGTCTTGGCGAGCCTCCCACTTTCAACTTTTTTGATGCAATTTCCAATGAAGCAGCCGATTTTCGTGCTGTTGGCGCCGAGAAGGTGCAACACACTGTTAACCTTGTCGCTTCCCCGTTTGCCTTGCCATGTCGATGGGTCTGACGGATATGTTTTTCTGTAAATTAGAACCAATCAGCACAACACAAAACGAATGTAGTGATTTGAATGTAGATAATGTGGAAGTGGCGACGGTAGCATGGTAGATTTGGCATATACCATCGCTGCCTGTCGCGAAGATGAATATCGAATCTGCTTACCCGAATTCTTCAAGTCCGGCTTGGAGAGCCTCCTGCACTATTTCAGCATAGTTTGGATCTGTTGTGTAAGTGAAACTGTGATAAAAGACCTTCTTCTGTAGAACCAAAAGGTGAACGAAGCGACAAAACAGCTTCCTTAAGTACAGCTGGAATACCTGCCTAATTTCCGTCTGACAACCGTGTCTATAGTTTATAGATGATGCGGATGCTGCCACAGCAGTACATGCATCAACATCAGGAAAGGTAGTGGTTTGTAGTTTCTGCACTCACAAGTTCCCCGGCTATCAATGTCGCGCACGTATCTGATTCGGCTGTCTGTTCGGCTTGTACTTTTGCCTTCAGGGTGGAGACAAGGTTGGTGTCCTTTTCAACTGTGTTGGTACGGACTGAAATTTTTCCATTACGGGCCAAGTTTGTCGTTAGGTAGAGTTCTGTAGCCAACATGTACGGACAGGAAAATCAACGTGCAATAAGGCGACCTCCGCCTGTCGCAGCCGACTAGTTGACGGCTTGACAAAAAACAAGATGGGAAAAAGCACCAGGAATATGAGAAACATAAGCGGTAATGGGCTTACCATCTTTAACATCTACTACCTGGAATATGTACTTCGCTGGCTCGTCCGCCTTGGACTGGAGCCCGAAGAGTCCGACGAGGCAAAATGCTGCTGCGGTCTTGTAGAGAGGAGCCATTGCGACGGAGGGCAAGAGCTTTTAAAAAAAGTGTTCTAGACAAGAGAAATATAAATATTCAAATTGAGGGGAGCGGAAAAGACGGCAAGCAGTTCGGAGTTCTTTGCGTGGTCCTCCAGTCGCGTGAAGAGCGAATGGCAAAAAACGGGACAGCAAAGCCAAAATTGCAAACAAAAGATAAAATTAAATATAATGAATATTGAGCAAAAATAAAACAAACAGAAATTGTTGTGAAAATGTTGTGTGTCCTGGCCCCATATGTGTTGATTGAGGCTCCTACCGGTCCCGGTGTGCACTACCCCCCCCCAGCGACCGTTGGACTCCAGCGCGCACCAGCCAGCACCCGCTTGTGAAATACACCGAACAGGAAAAAAAAACGAAAGAAGATATATATAATTTTTTATTTATTTATGAAGAAATTACGTTGATTGGTTCATTTCACCGCGGGAAAGGCGCCAGTTGCAGGGTGAATGTTTCTGCATCTCTCATCCACGGATGAGCAGGGTGCAACACCCTGCATGAATAAATATTGTTTAGAACAGATCAATAAATAGCTGGATATGAACTAAATATGAAAGAAATATTCACTGTACAAAAAATGCTGCAACTTGGTGCATCCATTGCATTGGAAAATAAGATATATTGTTTGGTTGCTGTATAGATATCCACCAGACCGCCAACTCACCCCCTCCATCGTGGGGTTTCATGCAGAGAAGTTCCTTTAATGAGATGATTCCTATCTATAGAGTTTTATATATGTCATTCGGTTTATTGTATACTATGTGTTATCTGTAACACACTTGTAGGCCTTAGATTTTCCCTCGTATCAAGTAGAAACATTAGAGTGGCGGTAATGAGAACGAAACCAGGGACGAAACTGCGGTAGTACAACGCGAGAACAACGAAATTCTGGAAGTTTCTGCGAATGCACAGGGGTAACACCCACGTCACTTTGCTGGATATGTTGAGGCTCCTGCTACAGAAGCACGAGCCGCCACCCCCCCTCACCTCTCACCCCTGTAAGCAACACGAATTGCCTACTTGCACAGCAAACGCTTTCGTAGTTTCACGAGCCGCTGCTTCTCACATAGAAGTTTCAGAGCACGATGAAGGAGCTCGATGTGCCCCTGAACATTCCTGCTGAGCAGAAGTGCACGATGCATTCATATAACTATCCAAACCAACCACAGCTTACTGAGTGACTCTAGCAATTCAAGATAGAGCTCCCGCTGCAGTGCAGCCCGAAATCCTAAACAATAAACCCTAAACCGTTGTTTTTTAAGTTTAATATCAGGAGTAAACGCCTCTGAGTTTTAATTC